TATTTAACCTAAGCTCTAATTCACAAACAGGGGAACTGTTGATGACAAGGATAATATCAAATTGCTTCACTACTGTTCAACACTAACATCTACATACGAATGTATTACAGTCTCATTTGCATGTTCATTTTGTTTTTCACATCACGTTTGGTTGTACCAGGTCAGTCCACAGAAAGTGCATTTGAGTTTCCGCCTCGGGGTAGTGTATCTCTATCGTGACGAACTGCTTTTGAATAGTCCTTCCGTTATTTTTCTCGTTGAGCAGGTTTTCCACTTAAATGCCGTGAATGCACGTTTCCAGTTTTGTGTATCCATTCTTGACATGACCTTCGGTGCGTTAGGGAGGTAGAATATTTCATTTGTTGAATAATTTTCAATAACCCCTTTCCATATAATTATTATTCCTTAGTATTATTTCCTTATAATTTTCTAGCTAATAATTTCTTTATAACCACCACATGTTCCACTGTTTTATTAACTATTTACTTAGATATATTTATTCATAATTTATCAATATCAAAAGGGTATATTGCGTCAAAGGCTCAGAAATTCCCCCTTATTTAAATCTTACTAATGGATGAGTGGCTTTCTCTGTCAGGAAAATATCTCGACTGCCATCTGACTGTTCCTAATTCTGCCTTGAACCTCATTTCATTGTTGGTATCAATGCACAAATATGTTCCGAAATATCAATGAGGCCAATTACATTTTTGAACCTGAGTTGTCTATGGTCGAACACTACATGATGCAAGTAGATCTATCTGATCGTATTTAGCGTATTAAGAGACGCTAAACAGTGGTTAGTTCACACCACACAATCTTTTGGATCACCACCCGTATCTTATTTATTTTGTATTTGAAGGGCAATGCTTTTAGTATTGTGGTAGCTCTAGAGCACAGTCATTCTTGATCCATTTCCTGGAAATTTCAGAGCAACATAATGTTTGTGCTTACATTCAATCCATTGGATAATGTGAGAAGCGAGTTTTTTGTAAGCATTCGAGCTTAATGAGTAATTCCCGCAGATCATTCGAGCTGAAATAGTTTTATCTAGGACTAGTTATGTAATCTTTCAAATGTATAAATATGAAAATGTTCTAATGTAACAGGTCATGATAGATGAATGTATCAAATATGTTGACATGTTGACATTTAACATTATTTAAGCAATTTAATTTACTGTGGTCTTTCTGTTTATCGCTAATCAGTTCCATTGCTCAGTTTCTCTTCTTGCATTGTAGCTTCCATGGCTCCATGGCTACCCAGATTGGCGAAATATACGGTTTCTGGTTGGTGCCGATCAACATTGCTGTTTCGCATGCAAGCGAGAATATAAAGTTCGTTCAGTTGGCGGAATTATGGCCACTCCATCATTCCGAGCATCGAAACCCAGATTTAAAAACAAGTGATAAATGTGGAATACGTGCTTCAACTTTACTTACTTCCAGTACGCGCGTGCTAGCGGTGTATTGCTTCATTTCTCTCGGAATTGCTCTTAGCTCTCCTGGCTCGAACATGTCTCGGTCTCCTATACAAGGCCAAGATGTTGTTCACGGCAAATCAAATGAGAACGTTTTCCGTAGTAACTACGTGTTTTCAAAATATTTTGCTGATGTAGCTTTCCCAAGATCTATGAGAGGTGGAATATCTAATAGTTTAAGAAATTTTCGTGTTTGAGTTCATTGCGAGAAACACACACCCTTGGGAGATTTTTTGATATTTTCTAAATTTTCTCAGAACAATAAAAACTTAATTACTTGAACTTCAATCATTTGAATTTCCATTACTCGAACTTTTATAAATGAAACTCGGAAAAATCAAATTTCAATACATTAATTTTCGATAAATCAATTTTCGATGACTAATATTTCGATGAGGTAGACTTCGATAAATCAAACTTCACTACCCCAAACTTTCATACAACGAACTTAATTAATTCGATTTTCTAGAAGTCAAACTTTAAATTCTTCAACTCAAACTTCAAATTCAACAAAATTATTGCGAAAAATATGACAAAATGCGGAAAAGAAGCTAAAAGTCGTGGAATATTTTTTGTAAACAAAGCAATAAAACCCAGAATTCCTTCTGAAAAATAAAGAAATAAAAACATTCATTAATAAACCTATAACATTTATTAATTTTATTATAGGTTATTAAACACACGCATAATAAACCGGTTAATTTTTGTATTTTCGTAATACAAATTCTTAATAAAACAATTGATTAAAAACAACAGCATTTACGTAAATGTATTTCCAATTGAAGATTTTGAAACTACTTAATTGGAGTTCTTGAAAAGAAATAAGAAATTAATATAAACAGAAATCTTCCTTTGACGATAACGGAATTGCTAGATTGAAGAACGCATTCTTGTAGAAATTTCATGAAACAATGGAGAAATTATTCTCAATTCTACTGATAACAAACTCCTATACACCTGTAACTACCACTATTTTTATTTTATTTACAATATCCTTACCATTTGAGAATATTAAAAATTTGGTTCTTTCAAACCGTTGCTTTTTAGCACTCTTATTTCACCCTTTGTAATAAATAGTAAACATTTAATCAAATGAACGCTTCAAATCACCCCCCCTCCCATTCCCTGAGTTAAATTTAAAAAACCTGACTTAAATTTGAGTGAGGTTTTATATCACTTCACCCTCATAATTTCCTCGACAACATCTTTTGGGTATGGATTATAATACAAAAAATAGTTTGTTCTCAAACGCTATACTACTAAGCGACATTTTTTTGAGATATTTGATACTTGAGATGACAGCTGGCACAGCAGGTTTGTCCTTCGGTGACTTGACCACAGACAAATCTCTTCTCGAAAAATGAAAAAATTAAACAAAAATGCACTTATTAAATTCTATGGATTGAAGTTAAAAAATCAACGATCATGTCGGCTCTCTTATTTGCATTCAGAGGCGCTGCTTGCCTGTTGTCGCAATGAACGCTTTCAGACATCGAACGCGCAGCCTGTGCTCGGCGGGAAGCCTAGAACCTAGGCTAGTTGTAGTGCAGAAAGTCCTCACAAAAAAAAAAAAATTGTTGGAATTAATTGTGCATCTACGAGGGAAAAGCGGTGAAGAGATATTTTCTTTACAAACTCGTTCGAGGAGAGGTTACGAGACTGCTCATCCTGTGCATAAACATTAATACAACTTTTCAAAATAAAACTAGTGGTGCTACAGAATGGCACAGACTTTCCCGTATTAGTTTTCTGTTTCCTTTGGTCTCGGCTAGCTATACGAACTTGGCACGTACTCTTACCAGCTGCCATCTATCGCTGACAAAAATAAATTTTTTTGGTAGTTATCTTAATTTTCCGGTTTCCTAGAAGTAGAAAAGAAATATTATTTTAAAAGTATTAAAGAATAGTCAAACCTCGTCATAAACAGCGATTTTATTTGAAAAAATTGGAGTGGTTTTTAAGAAAATGGTGTTTTAGCGCTACTGTAAATTCGACATTTAAGCTATTTTTCTTGGATTGAGGACCTTCTTCACGGATCTTTTTCACGGAACGAGCTGTAGATACTTTATCCTCTCCTCCCTCAGGAAAAAAAAAATAATACGTGTTGTCAAACTCCCCTCAAAAGACGTTTTTTCGAGAATTCTTGTGGAATGTTCAGGTGGTATACGAAAAAAAGGCCAATTCTCCCATAGAAGACTGAAACACGTCGTATGATACTTGCTTCGAAAGGTAAACGGGAAGAGGTTTAAAAGTAGGGGATCCCTTTTCTCCTGCAAAGCATATGCATTTTGTTGAGTAGCCCTTTCTATTCGTTTCAGCGACTAACTATCGGAGCCATACACGTGCACACGGGGCAGGGCAGGGGGGCCAAGCCCTCCCCTGAAAATTTCGAAAGAAGTCCCAAAAAACTTTTTATTTCGTAAATATTATGAATGTCTGATTTTCCCTTTCATATAAACTGACACTTTGGTAAACTGATACACGACATATGGGAAAGAAGTTTTCCAAACCATCTGGCAACTCTACAAATGGTTCAACATAATATCAATGTTATTTATTAATTGGGTCATGAAATGTTTAATGTTTTTCTCCTTGGAGTATGTTTAATTTATTTACTAGAAAATGTGTCATATGTAAATAAAAAAGTTTAAAAGGAAAGGGGGGCAGAGGCGCCCAGAATTGTAGTTATTCCCGTCTTGTTTTAGATTGCGCACATTTATGGAAGGAGCCAACTGTAGCTGGACTTATTTAGAGAGAAATAAAAATGAACAGAATTCGTGATTCGTGTAATGAGTTGAGAGAACACAGTATTTGTCTATGTCAACAGTTCTTCAAATATTTTCCTTTTGTTTCTCCTTTACTCTCACTTCTTCTTTTCACGTTCTTCTAAATCCTCTATCTTTACTTTATCTTCTCTATATTGTCCTTCTTTGGTATTCTCTCCGCCTTTCTACTTCTTTTTCTCTTACTCGGTGTCCCAGCTAGGAAAAAAACCCAGTTGCAGAAAGTCGCTGCAACGAGGAGCGTGTAGCGCGTAAGTGCATGCCAAGCAGGTTGCGTAATAAAACAATTTCTTAAGCGAGATAAAAAAGAACGT